CGGGTCCTCATTTTACCCACCTCGGAAGGATGGAAGGCTGAGTCAACCTTGAGCCGGTGAGATTTGAACAGCCGAACTGCTGAACTAGCAGTCAGCTGAAGTAGCCTGCAGTGCTGCATTTAACCACTGTGCCACCTCGGCTCTTATGTCATATAAAGCTCTCCCTACAACAGAGTCATGTTCTTAATCACCTGCACAATTAATGATGGTTACTATTGCATAAGTGGAAGGTAGGTTTAACCTCTCACAACTTCTCAGGAGAGAGAGATTGGTACCAAATGTTGTTGAAAGAAATTGAAATTGCCAAATGCAGCTGAAAGCACAGGTCAGTAGATTGGGGGTTTGTTCAGTGCCCGAATGAGAAACTAACACACTACCCAAAATATGTAGATATTGTGTTCCACCAGAAGCAATGTTAATGAAATAGTGAACGATCCAACAATTTACAAGAACATACAACTGTGCTATAAAACCCATTTATTATAAACAGTTTTCAAAGTATCAGCATCTCTTTCACCAAGGAACAAATACAATAATTACAACCTAACCATGTTCAGGGACAAGATAAAAGGAATCTTACTCAAGCTTACATCATCTCTCAAGAATTAACAAAATCACCCACATCAATAGTCTAATAAGAGCACTTGCACAAGAAAATAGAATTAATGTGGTTCATGTACTTATGTCATTTTTCAACTCTATTTTTCAAATGCACATTTTTTTTCTAAATAAACCATTAAAAAAGCTACATAAAAATTGCTTTATATACTGCATGTTTTGGAATAACTCTTTGGCTCTGAGCAAGTGTGGTTTTCTATATGACAAGAGGCAGTGTGAAAAAGCTGTCATTCGAAAGTGTTGAACATGATGCACTAGGCACCACTGCCATGTATCTTAGCACCACAGCATTAATAGAGGATTGTGAGGTGCCTTATTTTAAAACCATGATGGTATAAAAAGTATTAGTAAGGAATATTTGCTGAAGGCACTGGTTTGAACGGTTGCAGTGCAAGCAAGCATTATGATTTTACTCTTTTGTAAAGTGAATTGTTTGGACATTTTTCATTAGAGTCTCCCAAACAGTTATGGCCATGTATAGCCAAATCATCATCCATCTGGTGTCAGCTCTGCTGGCATAATCACATAAGTACCTTTTTTTATAATAGCAAGACACATGTCACAGCATAAAAGTTATATCACCCAATACTCTCCCAAATGATCATTCTGCATATTTAAGAGTTCTATTCAAGATAGCTGGGTAATAGCATGGCACGACAAAACCGCGCTCGACTAAAGCGCGCCCGATTAAACCGCGTCGCTGACGTCATCAACAGGGNAAGGACATTTCTTTCAACATTACTACACCAGAATTCTGCACTTTTATGGAAAATTTGTGGCCCTGATCAATGAGAAACATGCTTATTATTTGTTGGGACTGGTTCAAATAATTTGTGATCAGAGGAGTAATTGGCTCTACCTTTTAAAGGTGACAAATAGAAATACATGTGCAAACATCTCAATTACAGTGACTAAATATTCTTGAAAGCCAGTATGAGTTGTGAAGCTGGATGTGAACATTACTGAGAAGTATGGATTCATTCTAGGCATCAAACTACTATTTAAAAAAAAAAACAATATAAATAGTCTTTGGCTTCTGGAAGGAAGGCAGGAATATAAATATACAAAAAAGTTGTATACACTTCAAAAATTATTTGGAAAAAAGGCTTGTGACTCACATAAACACAGAATTTCTTTGCTCCTACAGCTCCTGAAAGTAGGCATATTTTTTAAGACTTCCAACTGTAGCTGAAAGATATAGCACACCTGTAAGGAATCCACTTATTAAAATTATTCTGACTCTTAAAGCAATGGCACTCCCCCCCCCCACCAGGAAAAATAGAAACTTGAAAATTACTTTAATAAAAGACACAGAGCACTACTATCTCAACAGCATCTGGAGCCCTTTTTCTTAATCATTTTCATTAACAAATAACATTGCACATATTAGCTGGAATTCCCCAAATGCACTATAGTGAGAACAAACAGTATATGCTTTTCACATTGCCACAAAAATAGGGAACACGAATGCATATATTGGTCATACTTCTGCTTCATCTTCTCAGAAAATCCTTACCAAAATCTTCTCATGGCTGGGTTATAAATTTCAATCTGCAGAGAGCTTTGGGGTTGCAGCACAGCAACTCAAACATATGACACTGCACTTGAACTCTGATTGTTTCATCATTTCCAGGCTCCTGCCCCCATTTCTGATGTCCTTGTAGACAAGATGAGGAAAACAGATGAGAAACAAATGCTAATTAGGAGAAGCTCGGGGAAACTAGAGCAGCACTTCTCACCCTCAACCAATTTTAAGATGTGTGGACTTCAACTCCCAGAATGCATGCTGACTGGAGAATTCTGGGAGTTGAAGTCTACACATCTTAATATTGCTGAGGTTTGAGAAACACTGTATTAGAGCAATAGCAATAGCAGTTAGACTTATATACCGCTTCTCTAAGCGGTTTACAGAGCCAGCATATCGCCCCCACAGTCTGGGTCCTCATTTCACCCACCTTGGAAGGATGGA